CAGCTCGATTATTGAATAGTTATTCGATGAATAGACTAAGGTTATGTTTGGTAAAACTAACTGATAAGTTAGCTTATAGCTTATCAGTAATTTTTTAGTTTATAGCTTATAGCTTATGACTTATAGCTGATAAGCTAGCTTATATGATAAAAGTGTTTGGTAAATTTAGCTGATAAGCTAGCTGGAATAAAAATCAACTAGTTTATTTGAAAAGCTACCTAAGGAAGTTTATCAAATAAGCTCGAGTTTTTTAAAAAAGCTCGCCCTACCAAACGATTCTTATTTGAATACAGGGAGCTTATAAATTAACTGAATAAGCTATAAGCTAGCTTATTTGTCTACCAAACATAGCCTAAGACTTGTAACTAGCTGAAATCTTTAATACTTGAGTTAGGATCCTAGTTGGACTCATTAATATTGATAAATGAGCTAGATTACTAAGGCTATGTTTGGTAAAAATAGCTGATAGCTGATAAGCTAGCTTATAGCTTATTATTAATTTTCAAGCTTATAGCTTATAGCTTATGACTTATAGCTGAAAAGTTAGCCTATATGATAAAATTGTTTGGCAAAGTTAGCTGATAAGCTAGTTGAAATAAAAATATCAACGACCTTATTTGAAAAGCTAACAAAAGAAGCTTATCAAATAAGTTCGAGCTTTTTAAATAAGCTCGTTCTACCAAACGGAGCTTATTTAAATACAGGGAGCTTATAAGCTAATCAAATAAGATATAAGTTAGCTTATTGGTCTACCAAACACAGGCTAAATAGTTCTTCAACTCATGGGCGGAGCCACCCTTGGACAAGGGTGGGCTCCAGCCCCATGTAATTTTTTTTCTTCTTTAGTTTAGTATAGATTATTTTATTTGTAGCACCATTTAAATATTAGTCCAACCCAATTTAGCTTATACGCTTTTAGGAAGAAATTCAATAAGAAGAGATTTGAGCATTTTAATAAAAAACATACACAAATTATTGCTTATTCTAATTTTATTTGTTAAGAAGATTGTTAACTAATATTTGTTTTAATAGTGATTTTCTTATGTTATGTAATGATCAAGAGCTAATAGGAATTGATTTGTGATGAAAAATTTAAAAATATATTTAGTTTGGACACAAAGTTATTTGATGAAAGCACAACTAAACATTTGAGATAATAAAATTTAAATTTGTCTAGGCTAAAATTTACATATTTGGACATGATATAAAATTTGCAGATTTGTATAGGCTAAAATTTGCATATTTGAATATATATACTTTCTTATATCGTTTAACATGTTGTGTTTCTTCTTATTGTTTTCTTTTTTTATTTTGGTTGATTCATATTGAATTATGTTATTTGAAATAATATTGGTTATTCATGTAATTTATATTACATTACATATGGAATATATCAATTAATTTATATTTTAATTTATATATTTTGTTTCTTCTAGAATTCCAATAGAACATTTATTTGGTGATTCGACTTATGGATTTTAATAATTTAGATTTGGCATTCATTGGATTCTTAAAATACACCTTCATTCATTTAACTTTGTAATTCATGTAAGTTGTATTGAATATTAAAAAGAATTATTTTCATACATTAGTTTCTTATGGCATCTAGCTAAAGATGTTATTCGAGCCGAGGCAAGCGGGATATCTCATGTTCGAACTTGTGATTATTTAATAAACAAGCTTGATTAGGTATTCGAGCTTAGTCTTTGAAGTGTATGAAATAGTTGAGTTCGAGCTTTCACGTGCCAAAAATGAATTGTGTTCGTGAATAGTTTGATCCGAATAATAGCTCAATATTAAGCAGCCCCGGGTAGAAAAAAATCCTGGCTACGCCCCTGCTTCAACTAGGCTTGTAACGAGCTAAACTCAATACTCGAGTTGAACTCATTCATATTGATAAACGAGCTTGATTATTCAATAGTTCTTCTAGGAGTTTAGTTTGACTCATTAATATTCATAAAAGATTTTGATCTTGAGCTTTATCACTCGATAGTTCTTTAAAACTCGTTAGTACTCGAAATGGACTATTACCGGACTTGATGTCGAGCTCGATTATTAAATAGTTAACGCTTAGCGCGGTAAAAGCTTGAGCTCGAAATTGCTTGTACTGTACACTTTCTCTGCGCATACTATCTCCTTATCGTGTGAATATTCACTGACGATGAAATGCAGTGGTTCTGTTTGGTGATCATGGTTAATCGCTCACACACACGCCATTTTTGTATCCCAAATTAGGGTTTAAAAGTTGAAACTACGCATTTGTTTCCGTAGATTTTAAGTTTTCCCGTCACAATTGAAGTTACGTATTTATACCGGCCAGATTTGAGTTCACCGCCCGTAGAGGTGTCGCCGGTGACGAGATGAGCTCGTCCAGGTTCATAAAGTGCGTCACCGTCGGCGACGGCGCCGTGGGTAAAACCTGCTTGCTCATTTCCTACACCAGCAACACCTTTCCTACGGTGTGGTTTTCCTTTTTTTTTTTTTTTCGGGTATTTGTGTTCTGTTTTTACCTTTTGCCTGTTAATTCAATTGATGAGCTGCTTTTGTTTCTAATACAAGTTGAGGAAGTAGAATTATTGAGGGTTCTGATTGAATGGTTCAACGTTGTTGTTGTTGTGATTATGTGCTGCTTGTCCATATTTGGCATCTCGAATTTAAGCAGAATCAAATTTTAAGGGCTCATACTCACGTCAATATTTTTTACTTCTTGTTCTGTAAATGTGTTTGATTCTAAAGATTGGTGAGTTTTCTTGGGTGGAGGAAATAGTAATGAGTTGGTTCGAGTTTCTGTTGGTTGGAGGTCATCGGCAACGGTAAAGTGGGTAATAGAGTTGAACTTTGAAAATTTTGGAAAATTTTCATAGCTTGGAACAGATGATGGTACACTTGAGGACTCTCCTTTGTTATTTACTCCGTTCAAAAGAGATGGATAAGTCATCCCAAATCTTTGATCATGCTGTTGTTTTATATTCATTATAGTAACAATGTTATGCCAATGTTAAGTTCTTTCTATCTATATTGTTTCTGTTTGACAAGCTAAAAAACGTTAATGTTTTGTGCCTTTTCTTTTACTTCTGTTTTCTGTGTTTCTCAGCAATGTTAGAATTTGGTTTAGCTTTTGTGAGTTGTTATTTTAACCGACTAATTTGAATATCAAATCAATAGGATTATGTCCCAACTGTATTCGACAATTTTAGCGCAAATGTCGTTGTGGATGGACGCATGGTTAAGCTAGGATTATGGGACACTGCAGGTGAATAAGTTACTTTTGAGTTGGGATCTTATTTTTGTTTAATTTGAGGATGAGTGACTTAATCGGTTCATGGTTTGAGCAGGCCAGGACGATTATAATAGTTTAAGACCATTAAGCTATCGTGGGGCTGATGTATTTATACTTGCTTTCTCACTCATCAGCAAGGCCAGTTATGAGAACATCCCCAATAAGGTGAGGCTGCCTTGCTGCCTTTTTCTGTGCTGACCTTATTATTATTTTTTTTTCCTAGCCATTCAGTTTTTCCCTTTTCTTTGAAGTACATTCAAGAGAACATTAAGGGAAAAATGAAGGTTGTATGAATGGTTTGTTTCCAGTGTGAGTCTGTGACCTGTTTCTCTTAAAATTTCAAATTTTTGTTTGCTAATTTTCTGCTCTTTTTTATCTTTGGTATATTCACGTTTGATGATCAGTGGATCCCTGAGCTGAGGCATTATGGTCCTGGAGTCCCAATAATTCTTGTGGGAACTAAGCTCGGTCAGGATTCCTTTTCATCTGTCTCCTTAATTCATTTTCTATATTATTGACCTTTTTCTGTCCTGTTGCCATCTAATTAGTAATTAGTAAGTACCCAATGCGGTTTCATCAAGAACACAAAATGCTATTGCATATGTAATTCATATCTCTATTCGTTTTCTCCAATGGAGACTGTTTAGTTGTGGCTACTCGTTAACCTAAACAATGTTCTTTTGTGTCTGATTTTTTTTCTTAATCCGTCTGAGTACATTTAGGTCTGCTGTTTTGCTGATTTTGTTACCTCAGATTCTCAATAGACAACCTTAAAAAAAGATACAATAAACCGACAAGTCATTTACCCTTTTTCTTCATCCTCATGATGTGCCCACCTATGTTTTTAATTTACTTATTTATTTTGTGGTTTAATTCATTGTTAATTCATTTTATTTCCTTGTAGATCTTCGTGACGACGAACATTTATTTGCAGACAACTCCGAGGCAGAGCCCATCTCGACTGTGCAGGTTAAAAATTGTCTTTTACATACATTGTGTAATTACTAATTTGTGTTCAAGACTTTCTTAAACATCAATTTCCAATCAACATGGAATTCTTACGGGCCACATTCGGGTTTTCTTTTAAGGGCAAAGAGCTAAGAAGGATAAGTGGGGCTAATTCTTACATAGAGTGTAGCGCGAAAACGCAACAGGTTACGATTTTATTGATTTTAGGCTATGTTCGGTAAACTAATTTATAGCTATTAAGTGAATTTCGAGCTTATAGCTGATACCTTATGATGACTTATGGCTGGAAAGTTAACTTATATGATAAAAGTGTTTGGTAAAATTTAACTGAAATAAAAAATGTTAATGGACTTATTTGAATATAGGAAGCTTATAAGCTAATCAAATAAGCTATGAGCTAGTTTATATGCTTACCAAACACAACTTTAATATGTTACCCTTAATTGTACGA